AGCAAAAAGATGGAAACAACCTAGGTGCCCATCAGCGGATGAACAGATAAACAAATTGTAGTATAGTCATAGAATGAAATACTATGCAACGATAAAGAACAACAATGAATCCGTGAAACATAACATGGAGGGATCTGGAAGGCATTATACTGAGTGAATTTAGTCAGTTGCAAGAGGACCAATATTGTATTAGACCTGTCTTAGTCATCTAGTGCTGCTTTAACAGAAATACCACAAGTGGATGGCTTTAACAAGGAGAAATTTGTTTTCCCACAGTCTAGTAGGCTACAAATCCAAATTCATGGCATCAGCTCCAGAAGAAGGCTTTCTCTCTCAGTGGGCTCTGGAGGAAGGTCCTTGTGATGTATCAGTCTTCCCTTGGTCTGGGAGCATCTCAGCGCAGGAACCTCAGGTCCAAAGGACACGCTCTGCTTCCGGCACTGCTTTCTTGGTGGTATGAGGTTCCCAAGTCTCTCTACTCACTTCTCTCTTTTAAATCTCAAAACAGATTGGCTTGAGACACCATCTAATCTTGTAGACCTCATCAGTATAACTGCCGCTAATCTACCTTATCACATCATAGTGACAGAGTTTACAACACATAGGGAAATCACATCAGTTTACAAAATGGTACACAATCATACAGTACTGGGAATCATGACCCAGCCAAGTTGACAGATATTTTTGGGGGACACAATTCAATCCATGACAGGCCACTATTATAAGAACTCAAGAAAAGGTTTAAACACAGAAGAAAACATTCTTTGATGGTTACTAGAGTGGAGAGTGTCATGGATTGAACTGCCCCCCAAAAAGTCTGTCATCTTGGTTAGGTCATGATTCCCAATACTGTAAGATTGTCTACCATTTTGTCATCTGATGTGATTTCCCTACGTGTTGTAAATGCTGTCACTATGATGTAATAAGATGGATTAGCGGTAATTATATTGATGAGGTCTACAAGATTAGATAGTGTCTCTTTTGACATATAAAAGACAGAAGCAAGCAGAGAGACATGGGGAACCTCACACCACCAAGAAAGCAGCACCAGAAGCAGAGCGTGTCCTCTGAACCTGAGGTTTCTGCACAGAGAAGCTCCTAGACCAAGGGAAGGTTGATGACATGGGCCTTCCTCCAGAGCCAACAGAGAAAGCCTGCCCCTGGAGCTGACACCCTGAATTTGGACTTATAGACTACTAGACTGTTAGAGAATAAATTTCTCTTTTGTTAAAGCCATCCACTTGTGGTATTTCTGTTATAGCAGCACTAGATGAGTAAGACAGGGAGGGAGAGGGGTATTCACTAACTACATAGTAGACAAGAATTATCTTAGGTGAAGGGAAGGACAACACACACTACAGGGGAAGTCAGCACAACTGGAGTAAATCAAAGCTGAGAAGTTTCCTGAATACAACCAAACACTTCGAGGGACAGAGTAGCAGGGGCAGGGGTCTGGGGACCATGGTTTCAGGAGATATCTAGGTCAACTGGCATAACTAAGTTTATTAAGAAAATGTTCTGCATCCCATTTTGGTGAGTGGCATCTGGGGTCTTAAAAGCTAGCGAGCGGCCATCGAAGATGCATCAATTGTTCCCAACCCACCTGGAGCAAAGGTGAATGAATAACACCAAAGACACATGGAAAGTATTAGCCCAAGAGACATGTGATGGTTAAGATTGTGTGTCAACTTGGCTGGGCCATGATTCTCAGTGTTTATATGTGATCGCTCCCATGACTGAATATGCTGTGAGTAGGCAATCAGCTGAAAGGGAGTTTCCGTGGGGGTGTGGCCTGCATCCGAATATAAGCAGACATTCTGGCTTTTTGCTCATCTGGATCCTGCAGCTGCCTCCTGTTCATCTGACATCTGGTTCTTGGGACTTGAGCTGTCAGTTTATCTGCCAATCTTCAGATTCGATGATCTTCACAGCCTGTGAGCCAAGCCTTGCTCTGACCTGCTGATCTTGGGTTCGCCAGCCCCTGCGGCTACATGAATCGGGAGAAGCCTCTATCCTGAACCACGGAATTGGAACGTTCCAGCCTCTACAATCTCGTGAGCTGTTTCTTTGATATAAATCTCTCTGTATATATTTATATTATTTACTAATTTTGCTTCTCTAGAGAACCCAGACTAAGACAAGACAGCGCCACAAAAACCAAAGACTTCATCAGCCTGAGACCAGAAGAACTAGACGGTGCCTGGCTACCACCAATGACTGCCCTGACAAAGAACACAACAGAGAGTCCCTGATGAAGCAGGAGAAAGGTGGGGTGCAGAAATCAAATTCTAGTAAGAAGACCAGACTTAATGGTTTGTCTGAGACTGGAGGGACCCCAGAAGACATGGCCCCCAGACTCTCTGTTAGCCCAAAACTAAAACCATTCCTGAGGCCGACTCTTCAGACAAAGATTAGACTGGACTATGCAACATAAAATGATACTCATGAAGAGTGTGCTTCTTAGCTCAAGTAGATACCTGAGACTAAATGGGCAGCTCCTGTCTGGAGACGAGATGAGAAGGTAGAGAGGGTCAGGAGTTGGTTGAACGGACACAGAAAATCTAGGGCGGAAAGGAGGAGTGTGCTGTCACAGTATAGGGAGAGCAATTAGGGTCACATAACAATGTATGTATAAATTTTTGTATGAGAGACTAACTTGAATTGTAAACTTTCACTTAAAGCACAACAACTTAAAAAAAAAAAAACTCAAAAGCTGAGTTACCAAACCAAACCAAACCTGTTGCCGTCGAGTTGATTCCGACTCATAGCAACCCTGTATGACAGTGCAGAACTGCCCATAGGGCTTCTGAGGAGCAGCTGGTGGATCTGAACTGCCGACTTCTTGGACAGCAGCCGTAGCTCTTAACCACAGCACCACCAGGGCTCCAAATTACCAATAGCCTTTGACTTCCACGTTTTTTTCAGTAGTTGTTGTTCTTTTAAAATGAGCAAGTGTAAATATCATTAATTTTTTCCAGTTTCTCACTATCCCTAATGAACCCTTGTTGTTGTTCTTGTTGTGTGTCGTTGAGTCAATGCAGACTCACAGCGACCCTATAGGACAGAGCAGAACTGCCCCATAGGGCTTCCAAGGCTATAATCTTTACTGGAGCATACTGCCAGGTCTTTTGTCCTGCAGAGCCACTGGGTGGGTTTGAACTACAGACCTTTCAGTTAGCAGCTGAGGGCTTAACCACTGCACTACCAGGGCTTCTTAACGAACCCTTACTAGTTAACAACTAAATACTGTACCAGAAAAACATGCCAAAAACATTTTATTTTTCCTCTTTCTGAAATACTTGGTGGCGAGAGAACTGTCGTGCTCTCGTCCTTTCTTCAAGCTATAGGTCTCTTCTTGTTGCCTTCTCAAAGGCTCATTTCACATCTCCAAAAGGCAGTCACATGTTGAGAGTGCCCTTCCCTCCTAACCACCTACTAACTGGTTTGTCACTTTATCCCTTTTGTGGTTGAATTATTTTATGTTTGGAATTTTTTTGGGGGATGTCTTGTTTCTTCACTAATGGAATGCATGCTGACTCATAGACTGTTGGTAATTTTTTGATATGTATGATGATGTTTATAAATGTTATGTAGGACAACGTATGTCCCAGGGGACTCCTTCTCAGAATCTTCCCCACTTTCTGGCACCTATCAGAACCATTGAGCAGGAAGTACATCACAAACATGCACTTACACTGCTTTGAGCCATAAAATATCTTATTTGAATATCACCAAATCCTGGAAACCTTACCTTCTCAACAACACACACGATACAGTAAATAAACTTTCAAGCCTCATTTCGCTGTCCGGAAAGCCGAAAGGCAAAAAATGCAAAGAGCACCTGTGGGGACCGTTGAGCACGAAGAACATCACAAACGCATGCCTATACTGTTTTAACCCTGAGAATAACTCATTTACTTGAATATTTCCGAATGCCTGTAACCGTACCTTCCTGATAACACAAAGGAAGTAGTAAATTACTTACAAACCTTATCTCACTGTACAGACGCCCAAAGACACAAAAGCGCTCTCCCAGGATGCATCCGCTCACACAAATGCCTCTCAACACTCAAACGTGCTGCTGCAAAACTTCCTTGTTTTGTACATAGTTATAGAGTTACACAAGTCTCTGCTCAGATGCAAGTTATACTAAAGGGGTTCTAATGCCTTCCAGTAAACCTCAAAGGCAGAAAAAGTACTTGGTCCCTAGAGGTACCAGGGAGCATTAAAGGGTTATAAAAGCACGGTGGCCACTTTTTTACAGATCCTGGGTTATGGCTTCACTCCTGAGGCTCTCCCTCCATCCTTCATGCTATTCCTCTTGTCCGACATGCAATTTCTAATTAAGTAAGTAACTGCGGGTGAATAAGCTTATTGTTTTTGTTCTCATTAACTATCTACTTTTATTCCCAAGGTACTCTTACAGAGCAGTTAAAAATAGCTTTTGGTATGGTAGAACAAAATAGATAATACAGACAATACACATTTTTGTAGGGGTTCAAATAGCTGCTTACAAGTTCAAATAAATTTCGTAATCTGCGGTGTTGATAACGGTGTGGGGAAATGATGTACTCACAAGCAGTACAAGCTAAGTTGCGACAACTCTCTTTGAAGAGCATTTTGGTCTAAATACCAAGTTGTAAAATGCACGTACCTGTGGCCCAGCCAAGTCTACCTCTACAAATTTATCCTGAAGATGCACAAAGATATGTCACTAAAGAATTGTCTGTAGTAGAAAAAGACTAGAAACAACTTAAACATTCAGCACCAAATGGTACAGCCATACAGTGGAATACTATGCAGTCATTTTAAAAATGATGAAATAGAATAACAGCTAATGCTTGAGTGATAACCATATGCCAGGCACTCAAAGCACTTTACACATACTATTTCATTTAATTCTAACAACAATCCTATGAAATAGGAGCTATGTTTATCTCAATTTACAGTTAACCAAACTGAGGCTGAGAGGGCCAGCACTATCTCTAGTTGCTACTTACCTGTGCGAAAGGCTCTGAGAGGCAGCATCCTTAAGGACTGTAGAAAATGGCTCAGGGCAGTATTTTCACAGTGAAGGCGGCTATAATCAAGCAAAAATAAACCATTAAATATTTTTCTTAAAATTAAAGAAAAACATTAGTGGGACAATTGGCAAAATCTGAATACTGTATATAGATAATAGTATTGTATCAATGTCCATTTCCTGGTTTTGACAACTATACTGTGGTTATGTAAGAAAATATCCTTGTAGGAAAAAGGCTGAAATACTTAAAGGGCTCAAGTACTTAAAGGTAAAAGGGTGTCCAGCCTGCAACTTGCTCTCAAGTACTTTAGGAAAAAAATAGATACACACACACACATACACACATATGGAAAGAGAATAATAAAGCAAACATGGTTAACTTATGCGGAATCTGAGTAAAGGGTATTTTGGGAATTCTACACACTATCTTTATAACTTTCCTGGAAATCTGAACCTATTTCAAAATAATTTTTTTTTTTTTTTAAAGCATAAGATCAGGAAAACCGGTGCTCTTACACAAAGCCTTGTATTTTTGTGCCACAAAAGAAGGGCTTTATATAGACTTGTAAATATCTGAACCCTTACTCATGAATGAATCTAATATTTCAGGTGGCTGAAATTTTTAACAATTTAAACATTTTTACTGGGAAAAAAATGACTCAAACAATGTTGGGATATTCCAACCTACTTCAAGTCTGGTAGGCTCGACTGGTTTCGAATTTTTTGAATTATCTCTTGTGGGATTCCTAATTTGACAGAGTGAAGAGGTTTCAAGTGTTCTGAGAGAAAAGTATCAATTATTTTCATAGCTTTTGGCTATAAGAAAGTATTTGATTCAGTTTGTTTCTCTTTTTTGTTGCATCTTCACCTGGGGAAATCAGATTCATCCCCCACGGGCAATAAATGACTACGCCAACAAACAAATCAATAAAGAAATTTTAGTTAAAAATTGGTTTGTCTCTTAATCAAAAGCAAAAATCTCACTTTTCATTTCAGATAACACCAGTTTCCCCAAATATTAACCTGAAATCTAAAGTGTTTACTTTTTCCTTGGAGCACTTTTATGTTAGAGTAATTTACTCTATTATAAACATCTAAATTGATATTTTTATAAAATAAAAAACTGTATTCAGGACTTTCATACAATATTTACTTTCATGGATATTTAGTCAGTCTGTCATATATAGATATGCTGTAAACATGATCCAATTTAGATACATTTTTTCACATGAAATTTCCTTGACTTAAAAACCTGTTCACAGCATGGTGCTAATGTGGCTAATATGATGAGTCTGATCCTCCTATAGGCAAACTAGGTTTGTGTGGAGAAAAACCATTTTGCCACTGTAAAAATGGCACGGAGGCAGCATCTGACATCCTGTAACTTCACAAAGAGGAAGGAGAATAAAGAACAACAGCCCAAGGCTGATTCCTATGAGGAGGAGGTCGGACATGCCTCCTCTCTAAGCCTTCTTTACCAATTCTGACACCAATCATTCCTTCCACGGCACTCTCTACTTCTCTGCTAGGTTTGGTAATTCATTGCAAACTCACAGACAATACTCACAATTATGGGGTTTATTAGGGAAGTAACAGGTTACAATTCAGGTTAAGGAACTCAGGATACAGTTCTTCTAACAGGACAGCCTCTTTCTAGCCGTGTCCGCTGGCATGCCTCTCTGGACCTCGGCATCTGCCCTGCTTGGGCAACTGTTACAAAGCTCCTTTAGCTCTGCCAGTAAGTGCCCCGAGGCACGCCTCTCTGCTAGCAAGCCTCGGCCCCAAGCCTCTCAGCTCTAGCTCCCTGGGTCAGCAATCCTAGCTCTACCAAGTGACCAGAGGCACCCTACTCTGCCAGCAAGCCTCATGCCTGAAGACACTCAGCTTTCTTGCTCCATGGGCCAGGAAGCCCACTGCACCATCTCCTGCCAGTCTTTCCTGCCACCGCTTCTCGCAGTCTTCAGTGTTAGTTCTGTCGCTGGCTCAGTCTCCTGGTTCCAGGAGCTTCTCAGCACAGGGATCCCGGATCCAAAAGATGTGCTTCGCTCTTGGCCCTTCTTCCTTGGTGGTGGTGAGATCCCTTCTCTGCTCTGGAATTGGCTCTCTTTTAAGCCTAGTGGAATGGCAAAACTGACCAATTTCCTTGGTGGTCCACAATTATCTTATCTGCACTGTCCCCACCCAAGCACCCTAATCATCGGAAACCCTGGTGGTATAGTGGTTAAGTGCTACGGCTGCTAACCAAAAGGTCAGCAATTCGAATTCACCAGGTGCTCCTTGGAAACTCTATGGGGCAGTTCTACTCTGTCATATAGGGTCGCTATGAGTCGGAATTGACTTGATGGCAACAGGTTTGGGGTTTTGTTTTTTTTTTTAAGGCCAGATGGATGTGTAGCTACTAATACAAAGAAGTGCATTTTGGTATATGAGAGTGCATTCAACATTGAACTGCGCACATCTCTTAGACTGGATACTCCCACTACAAAAGCCAAAAGTCTAAAACCCTGATTTCCAAACAGAATTACAGCAGAGAGCATAAAAACTGACTAAATTAGGGTACACTGAAGTGTTCTGTATGTCACTGCATTGTGTGTTCCAGAATACTGAACCCCTTATTACTGGATCATTTCTTCACTGCTCAGCATCTGACAATTTGTCAATCAGTCCCCACATGGTTGGTCCTTTCCAACCTCTCATCCTCACTCACGCTTCTTGCCACTCCTTGTTGTTGTTGTTAGGTGCCATCAAGTTGCTTCTGACTCATAGCGACCCTATGTACAACAGAACGAAACACTCCCCAGTCCTGCGTTATTCTCACAATTGTTGTTATGTATTAGCCCACTGTTGCAGCCACTGTGTCAATCCATCTCGTTGAGGGTCTTCCCCTATTTCGCTGACCCTCTACTTTACCAAGCATGATGTCCTCTTTCAGGGACTAGTCCCTTCTGATAACATGTCCAAAGTATGTGAGATGAAGTCTTGCCATTCTTGCTTCTAAGAGCATTCTGGCTGTACTTCTTCCAAGACAGATTTGTTCTCTCTTCTGGCAGCCCATGGTATATTCAGTATTCTTCACCAACACCATAATTCAAAGGCATCAATTCTTCTCCGGTCTTCCTTATTCATTGTCCAGCTTTCACACGTATACGAGGCGATTAAAAACACCATGGCTTGGGTCAGGCGCACCTTAGTCCTTCAAATGACATCTTTGCTTTTCAACACTTTAAAGAGGTCTTTTGAAGCAGATTTGCCCAATGCAATGTGTTGTTTGATTTTCTGACTGCTGCCTCCAGAGGTGCTGATTGTGGATCCAAGTAAAATGAAATCCTTGAAAACTTTAATCTTTTCTCCATTTATCATGATATTGCTTATTGGTCCACTTGTGAGGATTTCTGTGCGATGTTGAGGTGTAATCCATACTGAAGGCTGTCGGCTTTGATTTTCATAAGTGCTTCAAGAGTTCTTCACTTTCAGCAAGCAAGGTTGTGTCATCTACATAACACAGGTTGTTAATGCATCTTCCTCTAATCCTGATGCCCTGGTCTTCTTCATACAGTCCAGCTTCTTGGATTATTTGCTCAGCATACAGATTAAATACGTATGGTGAAAGGACATAACTCTGACACACACCTTTCCTGACTTTAAACCATGCAGTATCCCCTTGCTTCTGTTCCAACAACCGCCTCTTGGTCTGTGTACAGGTTCCTCATGAGCACAATTAAGTATTCTGGAATTCCCATTCTTTGACGTCTCATCCATAATTTGTTATGATCCACACAGTCAAGTGCCTTTGCATAGTCAATAAAACACAAGTAAACATCTTTCTGGTATTCTCTGCTTTCAGACAAAATCCATCTAACATCAGCAATGATATCCCTCATTCCACGTTCTCTTTCTGAATCCATCTCGAATTTTTGGCAGTTCCCTGTTGATGTACTGCTGCAACCACTTTTGAACAGTCTTCAGCAAAATTTTACTTGCGCATGATATTAACGATATTGTTCGATAATTTCTGCATTTGGTTGGATCACCTTTCTTTAGAATAGGCACAAATACGGATCTCTTTCAGTCAGTTGGCTGTCTTCCAAATTTCTTGGTATAGACAAGTGAGCACTTCCAGTGCTGCATCCGTTTGCTGAAACATCTCAATCGGTATTCCGTCAATTCCTGGAGCTTTGTTTTTTCACCAATGCCTTCAGTGCAGCTTGGACCTCTTCCCTCAGTACCATCAACTGTTGATCACATCCTACCTTTTTGGTACAGTGACTCTGTGTATTCCTTCCATCTTCTTTCCTGAGGTACTACTGCCCATACTTGCCCGACCTAAGAGTCTCCCTGGGGCGCTTGTAAAAAATACATTTGCCAGGTCCCCAACCTACATCTACTGAATCTGAATTTGGTGACAGGGTAGGATTATAGCTGGAAATCTCTGTTTTTAATAAATATCTCAGTCCATAAAAAAACTCACTCTTTTATCAAACAAGCATGGGAAATACTGCCCTAAATTATTATCCCAGATGTTGCTTTTTCTTATCACCCATCTATCACACACCACCCAGTTACTGAAAAACTTCCCCACAATGAGGCTTTCATCTACACGTCTCACAGACACTGCTTTACTTAAAGTCATGAAGATGTTATCTTTTGGGGTTTTAGTGTATCAATGTACTTTCTATCTATATAACACTTTTGAAAATTAAGAGTTCTTCTTATTGTACCCAAATCCTAAACCCTCCCACCTACTGCACCTAAATCTAGTCTTAGCTACCTACGCTGATACTAATATATGGCTTTTTTTTTTCCTTCCTTTTTTAGTGATGGTGAGGGAGGGACATTCTCCTCATCAATATTAAAAAAATATGTTTTAGGAAAGTCATTTTTTAGTCTTTCCAATTCACAACACAGTTTAGATGACTCAAATGGCCTCCCCCATAATAACACTGAAACCACACACAACCTCTTGCCCAAAACCTGTTAACACCACACTACAGAAGTCCCATCCTGACAGGGCTACACCATTCCTTAATAGTTATGGTATGATGGGAGAGTGAAGCTTT